AGGTTTAGGTCGCAGATTATATGTCTGAGTCTTTATTCTTCATATGTAATTTAAAAGCAAGCTTTTCTTTGTAAAAAACTTCAATTGAATTTCAATAAAGTTAAAGGCATGGCCTCACTATTAATATTTAAAAAAAAAAAAAATTTGCTTATATTTGTAAAAAATAATCTTAAAAAAACAAAAAAAATTAAAAAAATTGTTTATAAAAGAAAAAATTATTTACAAAAAACAAATTGTTTAACAAATAATTAAAAAAAACATATTTAATCAAAAAAAACAATTGCTTAAAAAAAAAAGAAAAAAATATTAAACTTACATATTATTAAAAAAAATCACAAATCAAAAAAAATGTTATTTAAATTTTCTAAAAAAAACAAGTCCTTCAATGCTGTACTATATTTAATTTGATTAAAAAGCTAAGTATTGTATTCATCAATAATTTGATTATAAGAAATTTGATCATATATATTAAATTCATCAAAATTTTTAAGTATTATTATTAGAGTTTCTTTAGAATTTTTCAGTTGCTGCTCTAAATGTTAAAGAGTATCAAATTCATCTTCTGTAATAAAATCTGTTTCTAAATTATAAGCTGTATTCAAATTACTATTAATGTTTATTTGATTTATTTATTGAAATTAATTATTATTTTTTTCAGCATAATATAAAATATTTTTGTTTTGAAAAATATATAATTGAATATATAAAAGTTTTATTGCTTGTTTATTTGTTAATTTATTGTGTTTTAAAGTATGAATACCTGTTATTAATAACTAAAATTATTTACTATTAGCAGATATAGATAGTAGTGACATAAGCTGTACTGCAAATATTGCTAATTCTGAAACTTTATTGATAAAATTATTTCAAAAATAAACAAGATTTTTGATTAAATTATTATTTTAATTTTCTTTAAAATTAAATAAATAAGATTTATTGTTCCAATTTATAAGTTGTTTTTAAAATTTTAAAATATTTTTATCAAAAAATAAATAGTTAAATAAAATGCTAGCTTCTTGTTTAACAAAAATTAAAAATTTTAAATGAATAACTTTACTAAAAAATATTTTAAATATAATAACTACTAATTAAAAAGATTAGATTATAAATCTTTTACTAATGATATTTAATTCAAGCTGTAATATAATTTAAAAATTATTATAAATTGTATAAATAATTTTCTGCATTTGATACTATAAATAAACTGTATTTGTAATTGTTACATATTGAGATTTTAAAATAATAAATATAAGAGAATATAATTCCAAAATTTGAATAATTATTTCTAATCAATTCCAAAATATATTATTTTTTTAAAATAGACATAATTTCATTATTATTTCAAAATTTTTTTTATAAATTATTTCTTTCAAAAATTGTAATTTGTTTTGAATCTGTTTTAAAGATATAAAAAAAGAATTTTATCAGATAAATGTTAGAAGAGAAAACCAGAAAGTATGATTACAAATATGATTTTGAATAAATTAAATAGTTTGTGTATTTTTTTGAATATAGATAATAATTTTTAATGTGAAGTTATAGTAGATTTCATATATGCATATTTTAACATATCACTAATCAAAAGATTTGATTTATGAGTTATACATAGTAATGTTAAGATTTTTGGATATTGTTGTACTAATATTGTTTTTATTCAAATATAATTAGCTACTCTATCTGTAATAGTTACACTAATTTTTTTAATTCCAAGTTCTGTTATAACTTTCACTAAATTTCAAAAAATTGTTACTGATGTTTAACTTTCATCATAAATATCCTTTACTTTAATAAATTCTGATTTTCTATTTTTACCAATTGCAATATAATTTATAAGATGATTCTGACAAATATTCATCCAACCATCTGTTACTATAGTAATCCAATCGGATTTATAGATAAATTGTTGAATTGATAATTGAATATTATTATATACATTGTCAAGAATACAGTTTGAAAACTGTTTTCTTGCTGGCAAACAATATTAAGAATTTAATAAATAAATAAATTCTTTAAATTTTTGTAAATCAACTAGAGAAAGTGATGCACTACCCTCAATCATGTCTTCTAATAATAATTAATTAAATTTATTTGAATTGAAAAATTGATCATTATTGAACTTTGTATTTGCCAAATCTTGATTTGCTGATAATGATGATATAATTGAAGAAGAAGAATCAACTGACATATTTGATGATGATTATGAAAGTTCCAAATTCTTTTGTAAACTATTTACTGATTCTGAAATTCTTGTACATTGATAAGGTAGATTTGAACATTTAAAGAAATTTTTGTACATTTTTTAATATGTGTGCTCATTACAGTAGTAGTTCCAGAAATAGGATTGTCATTCTTATAAAAAATGCAAATAATTTTAGTTTTTTTATCAAATTTAATGAGATCAAAAGCTTGCCAAAGTGGACCTAAAGGATGTCCACTATATTGATTTGGAAGTATGCGAAGAAAGTGGTGAATTTCAGGATCAGGACCAGGCCACTTTGGCATGTTTGAATTGTTACAGTCAAGAAAAAATATAAAAGCAAAAAAAGTATCGTTTTAATTATTAACTATACAATTATTGCATCACGATTATTAATACTGTACAATCAATTGCTTATCACTGACGCAAATATGAGGACACATATATGAGATTAATTAATATTTGTTATCGATTCTCATAACTTATTGCTACTAATACTAATCTTATCGATAAGTAATTGCCCATCATTAGCTGTCAAGAATATTGGTGATTGCGTCCAGTACAAGATAAAATTGAAATCCCGATGACAGGTAGACCTTAATAAGATCCCGGAGAAATTAAATTGGTTTTTAGAAAAATTTAAGGTAAGAGACTCTGGGCGGTTATGTAGTAAATTACATTTATTTTAGCTTAGAAAATATGGAGTAACGCTTAATTAAATTTAGGGAGCAAAAAAAATTGTTAACGTTCAATTGCACACTAACGGTTTAAGTGATAATAACGCGCATATACGTATGCGCGAGTTGTTATTGATAAATATTCAACTAATATATAAACCAGTTAAGATGATAATAACTAATGATTACTATTGGTTAAGTAACAATCGTAGTTGTTACAACTCTTTAAAAGCTAGCCAGCGGAGACTGCATTGACCATAATAAAGTCGAATTATATATGAATAGCAAAATAATGATAAGATTTGATGAAATTAGAAATACCAGTAAATGATAATGGTAAAAATCTTTGTTAAAATTGTATATTACGAAATTGTGTTGTTTCTATCTCTATTTAAATTCCTACAACAATATTAACTGCAAACACAACAAATAGAGGGATGTTAAATATTTAGCCATACACAATTTTCAGAAACGATATATTATCTAATTATCTAAAGATATTTGCTAGGTTAATTCAGAGGATTATTTTGAATATAAATAGCACGAAAAACAGGATTTACAAATCGTACTAAACATTACTGTATACAAACATTTGAAAATTTTTTTTTAAAAAAAAGAGATTACGATAAAAAAAAAGTAAAAATACTAAATGCATAATGTTGATGATAATGGTATTTTTGATGTAATTTAGTTCAGGTCCACAATTGTATATCCACCCATCGAACTCGAACGTTTATTGTTAAAGGAAATGTTCATATTCACACAATGCTGTGGGAATACACCTTTGTTACCGCCTCGAGTCTCGTTAATACCTTGTACCCAGCCGTCATCATATATCATTAGGATTGTAACTTTATCACCAAGTTGTATATCCAATTCATCAGGCAATGTTGGCACATACGTGTCAATGACAGTGTATGAACCTATAGGCTGTAGCGTTTCTTCTTCTTTCAATTCTTCAACAACATCTTGTTCCCATGCAACAGCTGATGTAGCAACAATGCTATCAGTAAGTTCCTGACGCTTCCGCCTGTTTACGACCGTGAAAACTCCAGCAACTAAAAGACATACAGCACAAACAGCACAAACCGTGCCGATAACGGCTGGTGACATGTCAGTAATAACCGGTTGTGTAGCATTCACATCTTGACCTTGACCTGCGTTATAAATTAAACAACGATAAATAATACATATCGATATGTTCAAAGGCAACGAGTATTATTATTAATATTAAATCGTAACTTAAAACCTTGCCAGATAAGCATGAATAAAGGAAAGGAATAAATGCCTTACCAGGTGCTTTATCGTTCATCAGTTTACCACCCGAAGCATTGTTTTTAATAGGATTACTTTGATTACTCACTTGCCCTTTTGGTGTTATTGCGGGCGTTGTGGCTGTTGCGGTAATAGTATTTGAATTTTTTTGAGTAACTGCTCTTACTTGAATGCGATTTAGGCGCCTCTTTACTGAACTATCACTACTTATTGAGCCATCATTATACCGACGTGACAAGTTTTCAGCATTGATATTTATTTTTTTAGCACTCGCACTACTCCAAGATCCCAGAAGAAAGGTTATGAAAATAAATAGAAAAGTAAAGTGTAATATAATACGCATGTTTAAATTATGATGTGCGCCTTTTGAGAAAGAAAATAAAACGAGAGGATGGAGAAATAGTAGGAAAGCATATAATGAACCATAAGGTAATATCGTAAAGAAAAAATCATTAGTTAATAGCAAAATAATAAACAAAATTCATAGAAACCGGTAATTGATTAACTTACCCTCTTTTAATGCTTATACCAATGATTAAATTATATGTATATATATTATTATTTTCTTGGGGGCTTTTTTGTTGCCTCTTAACAAAGCGCTGTAAGAAAGAGGAGAGGAAGAAAAGTATCTATCGTGGTTTATAAGGGAAGAAGGTGAGAAAAGAAGGAGCAAGCCTGTTTGCAATCGTTGCTATCCAGTGGCAAAGAATGCACACTTTGGCGGGAAAGGATATAAAGAGAGAAAGGAAAAATATAAAAAAATAATTAGAAGAATCAAAAGTCTGGTTGGATACCGAGAATCTTTTCTGCCTTCTCAGCAGATCATATCTATTTTTGGATGAAGTTAATTAATCGCGCGTCTGCATAAACACATATTATTTATACTAGCCATGTGCATTTTTTATATACAAGATCATCGTAATTAAACGCATACATTCTAATGAATGCAAGTAACCGTAAATGGTTATAATCTGTAAATGGGTATAGAGGTTTAAAAAATCTCACCTTAGAAAGATTTTCTATCCAAAATAGAGATTTTATAGGATTACATTTCGAGACGAATGTTTGAAATCGGACCCGGTCAGGAAATATTATAGTATCTCCTCAAATGTCAGGAAACGCCAATGCAGGTGGTAAATAAAATATGATACATCACATGTTTCATATATACCAAGGCAGTTTCGACAGAATCTTTTTCGTTGCAATACTCAGTTATAGCCTTCAATTATTGTAATAATTCGTTTATCATTGTTACACTGCATTTGTTTCTTAACATCGCTGAAAGCTTTGCATTTAAACATGTAGTAATACATTATTACATCCATTTTCGTTGTCAATTTATATTTAGAATCGATAATTAGTAACTGAAAGAACTACTATTGGATATTGATATTTTAGTTTTGAACATTACCAAAAATAAATTATTAAATTTATTATATACATTAATTCAAAATAAGTAAGATCCATACTTGGTTAATCTTTTTAATCTTCTTTAATTCTTTAATGGGGTATTTACTATACGGTTATGATAACCGATTAATTAATTATATATAAGAATAACTAACCATAAAAACAATGACTCGCCGCATGCAATTAAACGACAAAGGATGGGTGGTTAGATTGTTTGCAGGTTTTGTGTTTAGCAAATCATTTCTTAATTTTGAATTGAAAAATTATGACGTATGTACGTACCTGACAATTTAACGTTGCCAAACTGATTTTGCTTTCTAACTACGTAATCTTAAAAAATCTTATGTATCTTTTTGTACGTATTGATATATGTTTTTTATAAACAGTGTCGTGTAGATTGTCTGCTTTGTTATTGGGTGACTCAACGGGTGCCCCAAGTTTACTATCGGAGTATTGAAAATTTGGTTAATCATACAATTACTCTGATAAGTGAATAATTAGTACAGCCAATCAGTTCTTTGGGAAGAAATTGGTAAATCCAGGCTCAACATATCTTATGTTGGTTTTAGGTTAAGCTGAGCCAATTTAATCTAACTCAGAGTTAATTTAATTTGACAGTCAGCTGGCATGTCCGATAAATTTTGTGAACAGTTTAGTTTAAAATAGCCAAGCTACAACTAAGCTATATATGACTCGAGACATTAACTACAATTAAAGCCAATTCTAATACCAATTTTTACAACTTTAAGAAAATTCTAAACTATAGCTTAAACTATAGTTTTGGCTACTAGCTTGGTTTGGCCTTTAAGCTATGACTAAAGCTGACTTGAAGTAAAGCCAATAACATGCCTACGTATATATGAGTGCTGCTAAGGGAAATCAGTCAGTACGAATTTAAATTTTCACTATGCCAAAATTAAACTCAGAAAATTTGATCATCAGATTTTCTGACTTTAAGTTTGGCATAACGATAATTTAAATTCGTTCCCGCTGATTTGCTCTTGATAACGCTCATGTGAATTTATAAAAATATTTTGTTCAGTTTTAATTTGTAATGAATAAATGAGCAGTGTACAGTGTAGATCATTTGTTTTATGATTTACATTACAAAAAAAAATTTTATACAAAAATTAAAAATAGAATAAATATATTTGTAACAATCTTGTATTAGCCAATAATAGTTAGAATTAAAGTTTAGACTACATGAATTTTTAGTTATTTTATTGGTTTTGCTAAGTAAATTGTTATAAATGTTATAATTTTGATTAACTATACTATATATAAATAACATATAATAATTTTTTTAAAATTTTTTTTTGATTTTTAAATAATGGTTCCTTAATAGTTATGTGTTTTATTTTAAAAAATTAAAATAAAAAAATTATAATGTTTGACTTGATAATTATTAAGAAAATTTTATTTAAAGTTTTAAAAAAATATTAATTATAAAAATATTATTACAATTTTAGTTTTTAAAATTTAAATAAAATTTTTATAATAATTATAAAATTAGTAAAAATCTTCTTTTTACTAGGGGTTATTAATAACCTTTCTATATAATATATTAGTTTTTTCTATTATATAAGTATATACAATTATACAATGCTGCATACATTGATTGGGTCATGTACAAAAGTAGTAAAAATGAATTAAATACAAGGAATGATCAGACTTTAAAATAAATAAATAAATATATTCTTGATCAAAAAATAAACAAATTTCTTTTTTTATTATGTATAGTTAATACATAAAATAAATAATCTTAAAGAAAACTAAGCATATACATTTGTAAATATGTTAGTTTTAATGAACATTTTGTGGTTTGTTATTAATGTATTTTGTTTCTTTTCTAATGTTATATATATTTTATTATCAATTTTTTGCTTGGTTACTTGTGCATAGTTAACTTTAGAAAGTAAATATATATTTTTATTAATATAAGTCTTTTGTGTTTTATCATATTTGTAAATATATTAGTTTTGATAAATAGTTTTTGCTTTGTTACTAACAAATTATATTTTTTCTTAATATTACATATATTTTTTTGTTAACTTTTTACTTTTTCTCTTGTACATAATTATCTTAAAAGTAAATACTTTTTTTAATAATATAAGTTTTTTATGCTTATTATATTTGTAAATGTATTAGTTTTGACAAAAATTTTGTGCTTTATTATAAACATATTATGTTTCTTTTATTAGTATTATGTACTTTTTTTTTGTTAATTTTTTTTTATAAAACTTACTAATTTTAGAATTTATATCTTGAATTTTACTTAAATTTTATTTAAATTTTACTTATTACTAACTAAAATTTTTTTAAATTATCACATTTCATATACAAAAAATTTTTGATGTTTATTACAGATTTTTATAGATAATAGTTTTTGATTTTCTTTTTTTTTAGAGATTTGAACTCTAAAAACTTTAACATATATTATATAAAGAATAAAATTTCATATCTCTCTAAAAATGATATCAACAATATCTATTTCATTTTATCTTTTAATAAGTATATTAATAATACTTTTCTTATAACCAAATATACTAATGAAGATGAAATTAAATATGTTAATATATTTGGTATTCTATCAATATTTAAAAATGCTAAAGATGATGATATATTAGTTATATCAGTTTTGAAAAAAGTTTAATCTATTACTTATAGTTGAAAATATTAAAGATAGTAGTTTAGAAAATATACATAAAGAATATAAAAATGGTTTAGAAGATAAGCTTGAAGATAGTTCTTTAAAGAAGATAAGTATGAAACAGATCATCATTTCTTTTAAGATGCTTGAGCAATATTTAAAATACTATTCTACAAAAATAGCTTTAAAACAAAGATAATATGAGTTAAAAAGAAAAATAATTATTGTTCTAAAAAAATATTTAAATATTTATATAAAGATAAATATTTATCTAAAAAGAAGTTGAATCTTACAACTAATAAGAAATAGGATTTAGCATATATAAAGTGTAGTTTTGTGTTAAATGCTTCATATAAAAAACAACTAAATCTAGTATTTGTTAATAAGTTTGTAGAAGTATACAATCATGCATTAAAAGACAGTAACTTGCTTTAGCTTTTACCATTCTTATGAAAAATACCTATACATAAAAGAGAAAAGGTCAGATTTTATGTTTAAAAATGTAATTTAGAAGTAATAGATATTATGAAATAAGTTTTTAGATTAAGAAATTTATAATAAAGATCTTTATAATATAATAAATAGGTTTAAGACTGATAATTAAACCAAAAATGATGCTTTGATCTTATATAAATTTCTAGTAAAGTTATAATAAAAAAATCTAGATTGGTAGTTTAAAATCAATTTTGAAGGTATTGATAATAAACTTTTTAAAATATTTTGAATGTCATCTAATCAGAAAAGTTTATAGACCAGATTTAATAATGTTATTATTAATAACAATATATACAAAACAAACAAATATATAATGCCTCTAAGTATATTTATTATAATTGACTCAAATCAATAAAGCCAAATTGTAGCAATAGCTGTTGTTTATGATAAGATAGTACCAACTTATGAGTAGGTTTTGGAACAAACTATGTTGGCTATTAGTAATCTTTAACTAACAACAATATTTACAGATATGAACTTGATAATACAAATAGCCATCTTTAATAGATATCCTAATACTATTGTTTGGCATTATGCATTTCATATTTAGCAAAATTTAGTTAAAAAAATCAAAAAAAAGATTCATTACAAATAGAAGAGGTTTATTTCTAATTTTTACATATTTTAAAATTTACTTGTAATATCTGACTTTAATAGTTACTAGACAAAGCTAATGAACAAATATCTGAAAATTCAAGAGTACTTTAATTAAGTATTTATCTGACAAAAGAATATTAGATATATGTTTTCACAAAGTGAAAATTTTTAGCAAACACTTATTTAATATAATATGTTAAATATATAAATTATATAATAAAATTGAAAGCCAACTTTGAAAACTCTTTATATTAACTTCAAAAAGAAATTAAATTATAACTTAAGATAAAGCTAAATATACAAGATTACAAGAGTTTTGAAATATAAATTCTATAACAGACCTTTTTTAAGTTTCTAGTACAATTTTTAAAAATATTAATAAAATATATAAGAAGTATTTTATATCTAATTTATTAGCTTTGCAGCATAAACAGATATTAGAAAGTCTTATATACAGAGTTTTATTATATGCTAGTGTGCTTAATATTACTATAAATTAGAAAAGTTTTTTTTTTATTATCTGTCTTATATATGTGGCTAAAATTATTTTGACTTGAGTTTAAATAATTACAACTTTATATAAACTAGGTTCAAATAAAACCAAAATAATTTTGACTATATATATAGCTGTTATTTAATTGAACTATAAATAAAGACTGTACTGTATTTTTTTTTTTAGAAGTTGAATGATAATAACATGAAATTCATAGAAGATAACTATGAAGAACCTTAGATTTTATTAGATATAACTTTAAAGAATTGTTGTAAAATTGGTGTAAATGAAATTTGGAAAGTTAAATATATTTAAAATATAATGAATTTGTTTTGTTACTTAAAGATGATACATACTATTGTATATGTTTTTATTTAATATATGCTAAATTCATTTAACATCATTTTTTTACTATTATGATTTATTCAAAAAAAGCACTTTTTAATATAAAGTTAATTTATTCATATTGGTATTCTGAAAAAGGTCTTGCAACATTTGATAAATTTAAAAATCATCAGTTTAAGTAATGCAAAATAATAATAAACCAATTTTAACTAGCATGTTTTAAGAATTAAAAAGAATTTATGAACAAGATATTAATATCAAAAATGCTGTAAAATTGAATTCAAAAAAGGTCTTATATAGTTATAGTCTTAAACTCTGTAAAAAGGCTCTGAACATAACACTTATAAATATTTCAATAAGGTTTTAGAAGATATTTTACAATGATTTATTGATGAGCAAATTTTCAGACAAACAAAAAATATATTTAAACAAAAGTTAAATTAAGAAAATAATAGTTTTAATATTTCAAATCTGAATTAGTATAAAAATAAAGGCTAGTCTGCAAACAAAAGATATTTATTAGCAATTGAAAATCATAATAGCAAGAATATTAGTTTAAATCATTAAGGTAATATATTTGCACCAGGTTCAAGAAAAAAAACAAATATCAATATGCTATATATAAGTTATGATATCATAATTCTCAAAATTGTTCTAAGAAAATAGCACTTTAATTAACAAAAAGTAAAGCACTATAAGAAGTTTTTGCTTTTGATTTATAATTTAAAATTTAATATATTTTTGTGATTATAAATTTTATATTTTTGGTTATTTATATTTAGATTTGTACAGCTTTATATATAATATTAATGAGTTCATATTTGTATAAAATTTATAAATACTATGATAATTTTGATTGCTTAATGCTTGTTTTAGAAAAAATAAATATAATATTATTTGAAATGATTCACTTATATGTATATAATTTGTTTTTGTGTTTAGAGGTTGTATTTGAATTAAATTTGTATTTAAATTCAACTAGAAACTAAATATAAAATTTAATTTAAATCCAACTTTTGATTGTAATAAATATTTGTGTTTAAGAGTTAAAGTAAGAATAATGTTGTTTTTTTTAGATTAGAGTTAAAAAGATATAGAATTTTCTTTTAAAAATTTTTTTTATAATTATTAAAGAGCTTTGAATGATTATATATTTACTAGCATATTCTTTCTTATATTTACATAGTAACTGCTTAATTTGATCAATTCACAAATTAAAAAATTGACATATATAATAGTTTTTATAAATATATTAGTATATATATAGTAAATTTTGAAATAAGCAGCATATAAAAGTTTTATATCATTATGTATATACATATCATCACTATACATAATAGTATTAAAATTTGTTTATGCAAACTTTTTTTTATAGACACAACAGTCAGTATACTTTACTTTTTAGCTGCATTGTTAATATATATATATACATATGTATATATAATATGTAATTAATAAATTTGAATATGTGTAAATATTTTGAAAGAAACTTTATCTTAAAATTAGAAATAAAACTGCGATATAACTGTTTATTTTAAATTTTAAGTGTATATATCATGTTATAATATGTTAATATTTATTATTAATAAATTTATTATAATTTATTATATAAAATACTATATTGATTTTGTTGTAAAATTATTTATATTGTTATATGAATTTCTTAAAATTTTATTAGTTAATTTAGAATAGAATATTAGTATTCTCTAGTAATGATTATAAATAGCCTATATTTAATATATAATTAAAATATTTTAGTTATATAATAAATATATTTATAAGAGTATTGCTAACTTTTATCTGAGATAATATTAGCTCTTTATATGTAAAGCCAATCAAATCACAGAATCTTGTATAACAAAAATAAAAAAATTTTTATGAAAAAAATTAAAAAATCCTAAATATTTTAAAATTTTATTATGAAAACTAATTTTAAGTTATTAAGTAAAAGTTTTTAGAATATAATTTTAAATATATATAACTTTATAACCTGACATTAATATAACTTTGAACCTTAATTCTAACCTTTAAAAGTTTATTTTATTTATTAATTTTAATAATTTTATAATACAGATAATATCATCTTAGATGAAAATTAGTTATATTTTATTTATAATATAAAAAAAATAAATATAAATATTTAATTAAATAATTACTATAATAATTTTATTTGTTTATTATATATAATAATATTAATAATAGAGGTATAATAATTTAGTAAAGTGGTCAGATTGTCAATTCTCAAATGGCAAGTCTAAAGTTCAAATTCTAGTATTAGCAAAAATTTGAAAATTCTTTTTGTATTATAGTTAATTATCTTTTGCTATTAGTTAGGATTAGACATCTGTTAACTATATTATATAAGCCTAACTGGAAGGTCATATGATATTTATGCAATAGTTGTATCTTGTACAAAGAAACACAAACTAGTACTAGGTAATGTAAACCTATAATAAGTCTTTGTAGCTATATAAATCATAAGAATTAGAAAGACAAAAGTCTACTTGAAAGATCTGAATAGAGAAATAATCTGAACTTTTGATAATGCTACTATAAAGATTAGATTTATAAAACAAAGCTAAAACTTATGAAGCTAGGCAAATATGCTAGTCTTTGAGAAGGAACTAGATAAACTAACCAGGCTACCAAATTTCTAAATTTTGAAAGAAAAAGATATATGTTAGAGAAAACATAAACCAAAGGTGTATAGTTATAATCTATCTTTTTAAATTATTAGAGTTAGCAGCTTGATAGAACTTAAATTGAATATCAAAATAGTAGAGATATGTTGTGAAGTTAGTACTAAGGTTGGAGTGAACTCTACAAGAACATAGCAGTTTAATAATATACCTTGATTGCAAGTATTGGTCTTGGCTATATTAATATCAAATTAGCTATAAGAATAAGATATAGAAGATTCTAAAAGACTTAGTACAAGGTCAAAGGTTTTTTATATAAGTAAACTGCTTTAAAAACTTAGTAGTCATAATATATTTTTACTGTTATAGGCTAGAATTATTAATAAACAAAGGTAGATAAATATATACAGAAACTAGAATATTTAAATAAAAAACTTACAAACAGGTTTCAGATATAGTAACCAGTATAAAACCTTTAGGTAACTATTAAATTAGACAATAACTAAAGTTGTATAAGTGGCTAGTTATTAGAGTTCTGCAACCCAGGCTTATGCCTGTACTCAACAAGTAATAGAAGCATAGGTATAAACATTTAAACTTAAACATAGACATAGGTATAGAAATAAAAAT